TTCTATGGAAATCATCACGGGGGGAAAACGTTGAGAAGTAGGGAATTTTCAGGGACATATGCACGAATCAGAGGAAATAAGAAGCAAATTGGAGTTTCGTGTCAATGGTATATCCTGGACCAAGACTCCAATGCTTTACGACCACAACCAATGGATTCCCACGGATATATTGACATTGAACAATATAGGAAAACAGTTTCAGCCCCTGTAATGACTGAAGACGGTCGTTTGAAAGTGCGAGATAATATTTATAAAGAAATTAGAAAATATTTTTAGCGCTGTGTTTCATTCTAATGTATTTTATGAGATAAAATAAAAAAATGAATAAAAATAGTTGCAGAAAAAGTCTACACAATTATTGATTAATTTTTTAATATTAAAAATAATTTATGAAAAAAAAAAAATTTGGTGATTTCAATGATTACAAATATTTGGTAATCACTGAAATCATTTGTAATCATTGAAATCACCTTCCGCGACAATGGTAATCACTTGTAGTCGTAATCAGTGTAATCAGCGTTGAAATCACGTGTAATCGATGACATTTTGTCATCACGGTGTCACCCAATTCGAGTGTGAATAGCCCCTCGGATTAGTCTATTAACATAATTTGTTCAAATCTTCCTCCATTCACCTCCTGATGTTGTCTACTGCACTCTGCTTGGCCAAAATCCGATTGGGAAAAATAATCCGACAAATACCCCTCGGGATTCCAAATTAATGGGGTATTTCCCTCAAGCTCCCCCGCAAACAAACCACTTACCACTTATCGTGGTAAGTTTTGCAGAAAAATGCCTCGCGCAAGCACTCGGCATTTTTTAACCTGCAAAACTTGACACCCTCATTTGTTTGCAACGAAGCTATCGGGAAATACCCGATAATTTTGAAGCTCTTGGGGTATTACTCCTGAATATTTTCTTTATTCGACAAGTGGGATCGCATCTAATGACATGCGATAATTTTGTTTACAGATATCACGGAAGTAGAGGTAGACTGAGGACAAACCGGTGGAGATTTAATCTTCATGGGAATGGCTCACAACGGGAGTGCTACGTTTAAAAAAACTGAAAGAAATTCACGAAAATTTGAAGGAGATGAGTGAGTGATAAATGTGTTTCAAAAGACTGAAAATTCATCGAAAACGCAAATGTAGAATTCAGGGTAACAACAGAGAGGAAAAAATAGTGAAAACAATATAAGGTAATTTCGCTGGGGTGCATTTAGCCCAGCGGATACAATAAAACGAAAATCGTGGAAGGCCATTCGCGAAAAACGGCGAGCCACTACGGGTATCCATATCAAAATTCTTGGGCGTGCAGCAACGGTCCGGCTAGTATATACGACTGCCCAACGAGCCCCGTAGTTCGTATACCTCAACTCGATGAGGACTACCGGCCCATCTACTTTTACGTAGCTCAACCTTACACGATCCCATATACTTTCGCAAAGAGGCCAAAGCAATCGTCATTACAGAAACCGGGTAAACAGCGTGGCAATTATCGTGTCAAATTTTCGAAAAAATTAAGTAGCGCGGAATTTTCACAGAAAGTCAAGCAGGGGGAATTCTCCAAGAGTCTGAATCAGGTGCAATTCGTTGAGGATCCAGTACCAGGTAGGTTAATTTTAATAATGCATGCATTCGGTTATTTTCTCACACAATCATGGATTTTCAACTTGCACAAAGAAATTCTAGTGCTTTAGTAGTATGTAACTGGTATATGCATAGAAAAAAGGTCCTGAGTTCCAGAATCAACTCACTGGTTTTGAGAAATTTATGGTTCTAGGAGGCAATGAGAAGAGAGATGTAATTTTTATATTTTAGAAAGAACACACAGAAAAACCTAAACGTAAATTACGTTAAAGAAGTTATCTTTTACGCTTTCTGAAGCGTAAATTACGATCAAAATCGCCGCAAGTTACGATTACGCAATTGCGCTCAAAATTGTCGTAAATTACGATCGAAATCGTTAAAAATTGAAATTAATATTCTTGGCGTTCTGAACGCAGAGGAGAAACAGAGGAAGAAGAAGAGGGAAATATAGCAAGAAAGGAACGGCAAGAATATTCACTTGTAATACCACAAGAGCTTCAAAATTATCGGGTATTTTCCGATAGGTTCGTTGCAAACAAACGAAGGAGTCAAGTTTTTCAGGTTAAAAAATCACGAGTGCGAAGCACGAGTGATTTTTCCTGAAAAGTTTAACGACTTCGTTTGTATGCAGGGATCCTTGAGGAAAATGCCCGATTAATTTTGAAGTTCGTGTGGTATTCGGGGGATTATTTTTCCAATCCAAATGTCGGGCAATATAATTGGACCATGAGACGGAACTCACAATTGAGAAACGAAAATTGTATAATTAACACAACAGCATTCAATGTGTGTGTCAGCACTCAATGTGTAGTTTCTCTCATCACAAAAACTGGTAAAATATTTCCAAATTGTCTTCTTCGTTTTCTCCGTATTGAGGGGAATATTCCCCTTTACTTTTTCATCAATGGTTTTCAGGGAATGAACTCCGAATCTACTCATTTTGAATAAAAATCCTCGGATTACCACAATTGAATTCAATCTGTCAGTTTGACGAGGGGTTAATTCGACTGCATGATGTTTTGTTTTTTATATAGCAACTGCCAGAGAAAATTATCAAAAAATTATCAGTTGAAAACCCTGTAGCTTGTACCACGTGATGTCGAATGGGCCAATTAAATTGCCCGATATTTGGGTTGGAAAAATAATCTTTATGCCACTCATGCCTGAAACCGGCTGGATTACACACTCGACGCTTCGCGTCTCGTGTCTAATTCAGCCGGTTTCAGGCTTCGTGACATAAAATTTTGTTCAGTACTTGTTGGGAAATTTCGTCCTTAACGTGTGTGGTTACATCACTCGCCTTCGGCTCATGCTGTAAACCCTACACACGTTAAAGACGATATTGCCCCACACGTGCTGAAATATACTATTTCAATTTTTCAATTTTCCCATCATCACGGGCGGTGTTTGATTTTTGGCCCTTCGACGCTGGATACTGTCATTTTATTCATTGTACGGAATGGCGTTCAATACTAATAAAGGCATTGAAATTAATTTTTGTAGCCCGTGATTTGACGGAGGGCCCTAATAAAACTAATAGAAATTCTAATAGAAATTCTTTAGTCATTTTTGTCCAGGTTGATATTTATCATTTGGGGTCTTGCGATTTTATATGATCTCCTTCAGTCATGATCTCCTTCATTTTTGGAAAGAAGCAAATAAAGCCTGCACTTGGCGTGATTTTTTTTACTTTATTTTTTTTTGTGATTATATGTGGATGTCCGCATGAAAACGGACCACTTTGTCGATATGGTGTTATGTATACTCTGATAATATTGATAACATTCCGCCCATTTTGAGCCCAAAATGATCTTCATAGGGTCAGCAATGACGTCGTTGGAGAAGATGGAAAAAACAATTTAACATTGGTGCAAATGGGAGTTGGTGACACAAAAATGTAAATATCTCGGAAACTAGAATCGACAAAGTGCCCCCTTTTCATGTGGACATCCATACACTGAGAAAAAAAATTTCTACGAAATAGAAATTCTATGATTGATCCAAATCGTTCATCGATTGAATAGTCGCAAAAGAAAATGCTATNAATTGCCCGATATTTGGGTTGGAAAAATAATCTTTATGCCACTCATGCCTGAAACCGGCTGGATTACACACTCGACGCTTCGCGTCTCGTGTCTAATTCACCCGGTTTCAGGCTTCGTGACATAAAATTTTGTTCAGTACTTGTTGGGAAATTTCGTCCTTAACGTGTGTGGTTACATCACTCGCCTTCGGCTCATGCTGTAAACCCCACACACGTTAAAGACGATATTGCCCCACACGTGCTGAAATATACTATT